GTTCTGTTCGTTCGTTCGTTCGTTTCTTTCGTTTCGTTCGTTCGTTCGTTCGTTAGTTCGTTCGTTCGTTCGTTCGTTCGTTCGTTCGTTCGTTCGTCTTCGTTCGTTCGTTCGTTCGTTCGTTCGTTCGTTCGTTCGTTCGTTCGTTCGTTCGTTCGTTTCGCGTTCTTTCGTTGTTCGTTCGTTCGTTCGTTGTTTTCGTTCGTTCGTTTCGTTCGTTCGTTCGTTCGTTCGTTCGTTCGTTCGTTCGTTCGTTCGTTTCGTTCGTTCGTTCGTTCGTTCGTTCGTTCGTTCGTTCGTTCGTTCGTTCGTTCGTTCGTTCGTTCGTTCGTTCGTTCGTTCGTTCTTCGTTCGTTCGTTCGTTCGTTCGTTTCGTTCGTCGTTCGTTCGTTCGTTCGTTCGTTTCGTTCGTTTCGTTCGTTCGTTCGTTCGTTCGTTCGTTCGTTCGTTCGTTCGTTCGTTCGTTCGTTCGTTCGTTCGTTGTTCCTTATTCGTTCGTTCCCCTCTTATGGGGGATTCGCTCCAATCTCGACCTATTCTTATGAAATTTGTCACGAGATTAGATTTCCATATTACATGTTCCCATCGAATTAATTGCTATACTGGTACCTTTAAGTCAGTTATGAGCTTTAAAGTCATTTTCTGAAGGAGACATTACATGGACTATAAATCAAGTATGGGGATTTAAGTTCTTAATAAACTTGTACATTTAGAATTTCATTGCTATAGTGGTATTTCTAAGCTAATTATGAGCGTTACAGTCGTTTTGTAAGGGGATACTAATGAGGGGTAGGGTAAAATGTGGTTCTATCCTCATAAAATTAAGTACAGAGATTTATGTTCTTCTTTTCTATGCGTTAAAGTTATTAACTTCTTTGGGGTTAGGGTCAATGGTAAACTAATTTTACAGAATAGTTTCTGTATACATAAAACTAGCTTGTGCCAAATTTTGACTTATTTGCTATATAATTAACATTTGTATGACGATTTAATCTGTATTTCGGGGGCCACTAGTGGGTCATCTTCCCTATAGGGAATATTAATGGAAATTTTCAGCTTTCTAACTTTTCCCGTGTGGTCCCTTTGATTTCAACAGATTGACGGGCAGACATGGTTAGATCATATTAGAATTCAATAAAGACCCAGAATACACATATCTACATACATATATAAATTTTTGGGTCTACGACCGATATTTAGATGTATTTCCGATAAATTATTATTAACAATATTTATTATTTTTTTTGATAAAATGTATCTTTAATTAGATTATTTAAAAAGTTTTTGAAAAATTTTTTTCTCTCAAGATAATTTTGTTTACTTTGCTTTATTTTACTGTTCATAATTTTGTCGTTTTTTTTTTTAAATTCCCTTAATCCACTAATGACAATCATTAAACGCATTTAATGCGTTTTTTTTATTGTGCACAAATTGTCTCTCCAACAACCTAAAAAGACAACAAAAATTACACAAAAAAATTATGGTTCGTAAAGTGTTTTTATAGTATACTTCCTATAAAAACATAACCCAATAAGCAAAAACCTTTGAAATGATGTAAATGTGTATTTGAAAACCTATTCAAATTTCATACATAGCCTTTGAGAACAAATTTGAAAATTTTTGTTTTCAAATGGAAAATTATGGCCTTCTCAAACAAAAAGGCAGTTAGAAATCAAACGTATTTTTCAAATGTATTTCAAATTTAAAAAAATGCTAGAGGTAAGCTTGAAATTAAAAAAATTTTCAAACGTATTTCAAGTATTCTTTATTATTATTTTCATACATATTTCAAACCCTAATTATAATGCTAACTATTGCAAAATTCATATATTTTTTTACATCACTTGAAAATAAAACATTCATATATTTATTTTAGCATATTTATATCTCCGATTATTTCTCCTATATTTAACGTTTTTTCGCGCCCTTGCTGTAGAAAAAATGTTCTGTTTTTATTTTTCTAAAATAATTTATTTTTTGAAAGAAACTTTTCTAAGTTCAATTAAATCAAAACTTTGAAATTTTTATAAATATCACACATTATATTTTTTTAAACGTTTTTTGAAATTATCATGTTTATTTCAAAGGCTAAACTTTAAAATTTGAAAACAATTTGGAAAATACATTATTTAGTTAAGAAAATTTTCAAAAATATTCACAGGTTTGAATCGATGTTTATTGGGAAAATTTACCTCATGACACATGCATAAATTCATTTATTTTAAATGATTTTAACCTTGTCAATGAATGGCTACCGTTTGGAGGCGACAACTGGAAATTGCCTCCATAGAAATAAAGAAAGAAAACAAAAAAAAAAAAAAAAAAAAATAATAATAATAATAAAAACCGAAACAAATAATTGCCAAATTTGTATGCAAAAATAACAAAAAGTCTGGCAAAAGTGTCGTTAATTATTTTTGTTGTTTTTTTATTTAATTTAAATTTAAAATGTAATCTTAAAAAATACAATTTTTTTTTGCTATTCCTTATCATTATTTTTTTATTTCTATTGCCCTTTCAGCATATTTTTTTTAAATAATTTAATAACAATTTGTTTAGTTTAACTGTTTGTTGAATAATATAAAATGCTGTGAAAGTTGTTTTTGTTGTATTTTTGCTGACTTTCGTAATTATCATTTTAATTGTCATGTCAGTATTTATTTTTATACTTTTTGTTTTTGGCTTTTATTTGTCATTCATAATTTCAAATATATACATATTTTTTTTTTTAATTTATTATTTAAATGTATTTTTAATTGGACAATAATGAATGAGTTGGGTATTAAATATTAGATTAGTAATAATGAAAACTACATACATATTCAATATTTTAATTGTTTTTTTTCAAATATTTTTTGTTGTTGTCTCAGTCTGGTCATTTTGCCATTAAATTGTACGTTACAGTAATAATTAATTATGGATTTAATATTTTTTTAGAGGTGAGATAATTGAAGTAATAAAAATTTTTAGAATTTCAAATGAATTGTTGTAGTTGTTGTAATAAGAAGAAAAATAAAATACGTGCATAGTTCTGCAATTTAAATTGTATATAAATACAAATGTTTTTAATTATTTAACAACAAAAACAATTTTTCAAATTTTAGCTTTAAGCAAGAATATCATTATTAGGAGGTTGAGTCAAAAGTAGACCAAATATTTCCGGACCATGCCTTTTATAACTTCCTGTAGAAAGTGCAATAGAACATGTACTTTTAATGGAGAGACGGACGGACATTCCAGAAAACATTTGAACAATTTGTTTATAGAAAATATTTTCATTTTATCAACATTTTCGATAAATTTTCTCTATTTTTAATGGAAAATGGAAAATTTTTTACAAATTTCCTTTTAAATAGAAAATTTTTAATAAATTTTCTCTGTTTATAGAAAATTTTCGATCAATATTAGTTTTATAGAAAATTTTTCATAAATATAAAGATTTTCAATAAATTTTCTTTTTGTGGAAGATTTTCGATTAATTTTTTTTTAATGGAAAATTTTCGATAAATTTTCTGTTTATAGAAAATTTTCGATAAATTTTCTGTTTATATAAAATTTTCGATAAATTTTCAGTTTATATAAAATTTTCGATAAATTTTCTGTTTATAGAAAATTTTCGATAAATTTTCTGTTTATAGAAAATTTTCGTTAAATTTTCTTTTTATAGAAAATTTTCGATAAATTTTTTGTTTATAGAAAATTTTCGTTAAATTTTCTTTTTATAGAAAATTTTCGTTAAGTTTTCTTTTTATAGAAAATTTTCGTTAAGTTTTCTTTTTATAGAAAATTTTCGTTGTTTTCTTTTTATAGAAAATTTTCGTTATGTTTTCTTTTTATAGAAAATTTTCGTTATGTTTTCTTTTATAGAAAATTTTCGTTAAGTTTTCTTTTTATAGAAAATTTTTGTTAAGTTTTCTTTTATAGAAAATTTTCGTTAAGTTTTCTTTTTATAGAAAATTTTCGTTAAGTATTCTTTTTATAGAAAATTTTCGATAAATTTGTCTTTATAGAAAATTTTCGATAAATTTTCTGTTTATAGAAAATTTTCGTTAAATTTTCTTTTTATAGAAAATTTTCGATAAATTTTCTGTTTATAGAAAATTTTCGTTAAATTTTCTTTTTATAGAAAATTTTCGTTAAGTTTTCTTTTTATAGAAAATTTTCGTTAAGTTTTCTTTTTATAGAAAATTTTCGTTGTTTTCTTTTTATAGAAAATTTTCGTTGTTTTCTTTTTATAGAAAATTTTCGTTGTGTTTTCTTTTTATAGAAAATTTTCGTTAAGTTTTCTTTTTATAGAAAATTTTCGTTGTTTTCTTTTTATGGAAAATTTTCGTTGTTTTCTTTTTATAGAAAATTTTCGTTATGTTTTCTTTTTATAGAAAATTTTCGTTAAGTTTTCTTTTTATAGAAAATTTTTGTTAAGTTTTCTTTTTATAGAAAATTTTCGTTAAGTTTTCTTTTTATAGAAAATTTTCGTTAAGTATTCTTTTTATAGAAAATTTTCGATAAATTTGTCTTTATAGAAAATTTTCGATAAATTTTTCTTTTTAAAGAAAATTTTCTTTTTATATAAATTTTTCTTTTTAAAGAAAATTTTCTTTTTATAGAAAATCGTCGATAAAATTTCCTTTTTATAGAAAATTTTCGATAAAAATTTTCTTTTTATAGAAAATTTTCGATAAAAATTTTCTTTTTATAGAAAATTTTCGATAAAAATTTTCTTTTTATAGAAAATTTTCGATAAAAATTTTCATTTTATAGAAAATTTTCGATAAAAATTTTCGATAAAAATTTTCTTTTTATAGAAAATTTTCGATAAAAATTTTCTTTTTATAGAAAATGTTCGATAAAAATTTTCTTTTTATAGAAAAATTTCGATAAAAATTTTCTTTTTATAGAAAATTCTTCTTCTTTTTATAGAAAATTTTCGATAAAAATTTTCTTTTTATATAAAATTTTCAAAATTTTTTTTTTTTTTTTTTTTTTTTTTTTTTTTTTTGTAGAAAATTTACGACAAAAATGTTGTTTTTGTACATTGATAAAAAATATAGAAATATAGAAATGTTGACCAAAGTCTCTGGTGGGAGTTAATCTACATGCTAGTTTTATAAGTAGGTCTTCAAAGAAATCATTCTTAATTTCAATACAGAAGCAAATAGTTAAGGTCTACAACCGATATGCTGAATATACAAGTTTTAAAATAAAGGAAAACTTATTAATATAAGATTTTCTGAATAATTTGTTATAAACCAACCTAAGGCAAACCTGTTTTAAATTTTCTACTTTTATTCATTCAAATGTTTAAATTATAGTTCCATTTCCTCTCCATAGAATAACTTTATATACTTATGAAAATTTTAATATTAAAAAATTTCAACTCACCTTAATTTTCTAACACGCATCACAGAAATAATAACAAGTAAATTTCCAAAAATGGCGGCAATTATTATAAATAACATGACAAAAGCTTTCAAGGCTAAAATAGCATCATCAAACCAATCACCATCGGAATCTGTGCCGCCACCACCATCATCATCTAGTAATAGCGTTGTATTAGCTGTTGAAGCTGCTGCAGCAGCGGCAGCTAAAGCAGATGTGGCAGTGGAAATGACTGTATTATGCAGTAAATGTGTTGTGGTTGCATTCGGCTCCATTTGGGCTAAAGTGCCATCCAACACCGCCATGGGATACTGTAGTGAACTATCGATCGATAATGACGGTGGTATGTGTGTAACGGCAGGTGATGACGATGATGCTGATGAGTATGGTGATGCACCAGCAACTTCATATGGAGAGGAAGCTGCTGCAGCGTGTGTTTGAAGGGCGGCGGTGAGTGTAGCGGTGGTAGCATTTGTCGTTTGCAATAGGGCTGCGGCAATGGCAGCTGTAAATGATGTAGTCGTTGTTGCAAATGTAGTTGTAATTAGTGGTCGTGGTTGTCTTTGTTGCTGTTTTTGTGGTGGCGTTGGTGTTTGTTGTGTCGTTGTCTTTGTTGTTGCAACTGCAGTTGTTTGTGTTTCTGTTATAACGTATGGCCTTTGCCGCCTCGTTTTTCTTAAAACATTATTATTATGTTTTAATGACTTTTTTGCAATTGTTGAACTAGCATTTAAAGTTGTTGCTGTTGTATTTGCTGGTGTTGCTAGCTGTTCTTGTGGCGCTGGAACTGCATTTAGAATTGTTGTTGCTGCAGTACTGGCTGCTGCTGTTTCGTTTGTATCCTCTATTGTTGCTGCTGGTATTGCTGTTACATTTGTACGTGATGTTGTTAATTGGTTTGACGTTGTGTTAGTTGTTGGTTTTATTGTGGTTTTTGTAGACATTACAAATATATTTTTATTAAAAGAAATTTCTATTTTGTATGATACTTGATTTTTTGCTTTTCTTTTTTAAATAAATTTATTTTAAATCTTTTTTTTTCCTCTCTCACTTTAACACTTTTCTTTAAGATTTTTTTATTTTATTTAATATTTGCCATATTTTTATTTAAATACATATTTAATTTTAAACTTTCACTTATTTTAAATTCACAACTCTGGGTTTTCGTAATTTCTTTTCTTTCTTCAATGGAAAACTTTTATTTTTTTATAAAGAAAAATTTCACTTTTGAAAATAAATTTTCTAACGTATTTTTTTATCACTTGTTCACATTCACAATGGAAGCGCTCGCGCGTTGTTCTTTTTTATGCCGTTCAAACGACTGAGGACTCAATTTCAAAATTTTTTTATTCGAAGTGTTGATTTTCCATAAAAAAATAAAAACAAAATTTAACCAAAAGAAACAAATCACAAGATCTTAATATTTTTTCTATAAATTCTTTTAGAAAATTTGTATGGGACTCTTTTCTGACTTGTTGTCGCTCTTTTTTTTTGTTAAAAATTTTTATATTTATTTCTTTATTTTTTTATATATATAAACAATATTATTCTTTTTATTTTTGTATCTTATTTTTTTATATTTTATTTAGCAAAACTTGTTGGAGAAATTTTTTCCTCATTTTTATGATGGTCGAGGTCGTGGTCATACACGACATCTCGTTTGTTTTGAGTGTGTTTGATTGAAAAAAACAAACCCACTAGTTTTTTTAAATTTTTTCTTGTTTCTAGATCTTCGCTCTTATTTTATGTTTTCAAAATAGTGTTAGTTTTATTTTTGTTTTAAATATTTTATTTTCGTTTCACTTAAAAATTAATTTTAGTTCTTTTTCTTAGTAATTGCTGTTGTTGTGCTTGTTGCTGATGTTGTTGTTGATGATGATATTGTTGTTGCTTGTGATGTTTTTGTCGCTTATTTGTATTTTCCGTTGACGTTGCCATTATTTTCTGAAAAATAGACAAAATAAAAAAAACTGAGATAAAATAAATGTGTTTGATATCGGCACAATAAAACATTTTCATTCGATCGGTGAGGTTTTATTTTTGTGAATTACAGGGTATTAAAAATAATAAAAAAAATTTTAAAACTTTAGAAAATTGTTGATGTATATTACAATAATTTTTGGAGAATTATATCTTTTACAGAACAATTTCTTCTGGTAAACTTGCTAGTTGAGTATTTGAGAGCATTTTTCTTTAGAAAATATAAAAAATTATCTTTTATAAATCATTTCAAGATAAAATTGCCTTTTTATATAGCAACTTTTTACAGAAAAAATTACCTTTTATGGAGCAAGTTTTTAATGAAAACTTGTTCCTTTAAAAAATTGCTTTTTTATAGAGCAACTTTTTTTTCGAAAAATTGCTCGTTTATAGAACAACTACTTGTAGAAAAAATTGCACTTTATGGATAAAATTTTTCTAGAAAAAATTGCTCTTTTATGGAGCAACTTTTTCTAGATAAAAATGGTCTTTTATGGAGCAATTTTTTCTAGAAAAAATTACTCTTTTATAGAGCAACATTTTCTTCTACAGAAAATGGAATTATAAAAGTGCAACTTTTTCTATAAAAATTGATTTTTATAGGGCAACTTTTTAAAGAAACAATTTCTCTTTTATAGAGCAACTTTTTAGAATAACTTTTTCTAGAAAAAATTCTGTTTTATTGAGCAACTTTGTCTAAAAAAAATTTGTTAATTTTAAAAGTCTTTCAGTGAGCAACTTGTTCTAGAAAAAATTTTCCTTTATAGAGCAACTTTTTCTAAAAAAATTTCTCGATATAGAGATTCTTTTTTTTTTTTTTTGGAAAAATTGATCCTTTTAGAACAACTTTTTCTAGAAAACATAGCTTTGTATGGAGCAACTTTCTCTCAAAAAACTGATCTTTTATAAAGCAACTTTTTCTAGAAACAATTGCTCTTTTATAGAGCAACTTTTTTTTTGGAAAAATTGCTACTTTATAGAACAAGTTTTTCTAGAAAAAATTTCTTTTTTAATGAGCAACTTTTTGTAGAAAAAATTGCTTTTTTATGGAGCTACTTTTCTAGAAAAAATAGTTTTTTATTGAGCAACTTTTTCTAGAAAAAAATTTCTTTCATAGAGCAACTGTTTCTAGGAAAAATTGCTCTTTTATCCAGCAAAATTTCTCCTTTTGTAAAGCAACTTTTTCTATAAAAAGTTTGTCTTTTATAGGAAACTTTTTATATAGAAAAATATTGCTCCTTTATGGAGCAATTTCTTGCTCTATTATAAAACAACTTTTTATAGAAAAAATTTATTATTTATAGAAAAAATAGTTTTTTAAAGAGTTTCTGTTAAACAAATGTTTCTTTAAAAAAAAAAAAAAAAAAACTCTTTTATAGAAAAAATTTTTATAGAATAAGATGTTCTTTTTTAAAGCAACTTTTTATATAAAAAAAAAATTTATGGAAAATTTATATATTTTTTTTAATAACACCCTGTATTCTACAACAAATTCAATTTAAAATTTGATTTATTTGCAACAGATGCTGTGTTTGTTGTATGATTTTTTTCTACATTTATTTATTTGTATTAAATTTATTTGCATTTTTTTTTTTGTTAGTTGTTGCTGTTTACTTGTCATTTCCTATTTCTTTGCATTTTTACGAGTGTCACTTGCACTTTAGAAAAAAAAAACAAACCAGAAGGTGTGCGTTGTAATTTTTATATTTATTTCGTCGTTTGTTTTGCTTTTAGCCGTGAGTGTATGACGGAAACAGGAGGTGAAAGAAATAATTATTAAGCACTTGAAAATTAGTTTAAATATTATTAAGAAAATAATTTCAAATGTTTAGAACAAAAGAAAAAGTCAATAGTCTTAAAATATTCTTTAAACGAGGAGTGTTTTAAATTATTGTTTTTTTATTTATTTTCGTTTTATTAAAATTTTTATTTTTAGTTTAGTTCTGTGATTTATATCTTTAAATATTTGTTGGTTTTATTTTAATGTTGTTTGGTTGTTATTTATTTTTGTGTTTTCTTTGTTTGACATTTTCATATAATTTGCTAATTAAAAATATATCTGTCACCATGGTGGTGTCGCTAGTGGTGGGGTAGGTGGTGTGTGTTTAAGATTTTTGATAAAATATATATTTTTTGAACTTTTAAAAAAACTTTCTTCAAAGAGTGTGAAATTAAGCATTTTTTGAGGTTTTTCGTTTCTTTTAAGAGATTTTTGGCTGTTTTTCCATTTTATTGTCTTTATGGGGTTTTTCACTTTTTTATTAATATTATCACTTTAAATGTGTGTATATGTAAACAATTATTTTGCATATTATTATTATTATTGTTACTGCATATTATTGTTAATAATGTTGCTGCTTATTTGTTTGTTTATAGATGCTGTTGCTGCTGCTCTGTTGTTGTCGTTGGTTGCTGTTTGGTTTGGCATTGAAGCGCGAGTATTATTCGCTATTTTCATCTTCATCATAATCGACATTTTCGTTGTCAACATTCTTATTTTAAATATTATAAATGATCCTCATCATTATGATTATCGCATGTTCAGCGTCATTATGATGTTCTTCATTTAAATTATGATAAAGTTGGCTGGTTTCCAAGGTTGCTGTTCATACATTTGGTTTTTGCTTATTCTCCTCTTATCTTGTGGTCGATTTATTGTTTTTTTAACTCACATTTTGTGTTCGTTTCATTTATTCCTTTTTCTCTATGTATATACAATACAATATTTTTACTCTTCAGTTTTTATTTTTTTTTAAATAAATACAATTTTTTTGTATATTTTCTTTTGTGTTGTGGTTGATGACTTTTTAATATGTTCCCCCTTCATTATCTGCAAATGAAAATACAAAAAGAGAAATTAAAATCAAAAATATATTTTTTTAAACAAAATTATTATTTTGAAAACAAATTAAAGACACGGTGAAAATTTGACAATATGACTTTTTTTAAAACATACATAAGTAACTTATTCATTATAAGGTTTTAGATTTTTATCATTTCTATTTTAGTATTTTTTTGCTCTTATAATTAAACCCATATAATAAATTTTTTTATTTAATATTTCATTTTTTTTCTCATACAAATTAAAATATTTTTGTTTGTTCTTTAATGATTATTATTCATCTAAACATTTCATCACAAAATGAACTGTATCATTTCTGGAACGCGTGTTTTATTTAATTTGTGTTCTTTTGCGAACATTTTCTATATCAAATGAAATTAATTTTTTGATTTACTAGATGTTGTTTCTTGTTTTTATTTCTAAAAATATTATTAAAATGGTTCATAAATTTGTTTTTAAGTTTTTTTAAGCAAATTTTTGCTTACCACACTTATGGAATTTCAATATCAAAAGGGTTAAATTTAAATTTTGTGGCATAGAAAAAGTGTTTTTTTAAGAATTTTATTATAGTCGTAAATAGCATCACATGTTTATAAATTTTATGTCATAAATATTTGCTAAAGAAACTATTTCCCTTTTCATAAATATAAAATTATAAAAAAAAGTTTGTTTTTAGTTCTTCAAACACAAGTTTTTGTGTGTTACTAAACGCTGTTGCCTTTAGGGTAATCGACATTGTTGACAGGTTATAATTTTCTGTGTAAAGTGTTTAGTCATAAGTTGTCATAATTTTGTGAATATATTTAAATTGTTGAATTTGTCTTAGTTTATAAATAGTAAAGAGGAAGGCATATTTAAATAGTGTGGAGGAAAGTTTTTGAGGGATAGTTATGAAATACTAGATTTTGATCCCAAATATCTCTTGAACTTAAAGAGATAAGAAATAAGCATTTAAGCGTATTAAAAAAATTATATTAAAAACTTTATTTTGTTTGGATCATAAATACATTTTCGTTGAAATATACACATAAATAAAAAATAAAAAAAATTTTGAAAAAAAAATACCATTATTTAGTATAAGATTCGCAAGTTTTCCAGATATACGACTTTTTGTATTTTCTTTATTTGGTAGATGTCACATCAGCTATTCCAAGTTTGGGAATTTTTCCAAACATTATTTTGTATTCCAATTTGAATAATTTAATAATTTACCAGATATACGAATTTTTGTATTTAATTGATGTGAAAGGTATCAAGTCCTCCCATTTTCCCCAAAATGTTCAGATAGATGTTAAAATTCATTGTGCAAAATTTTAAGATGCTACCTTTAATAGTTTCCCAGATAGTTAATGTGGGTGGTGACACGCCCCCGCTGCTAGTCCGCCTACTTTTTGTCCTAAATTTAGTTTTATTAGTTTCACGAATTTTTGTATGTAATTTATATGGGAGGTGCCGCCCCTCCAGGCATGGGGGGTAATGATTACACAAAGTAATTAATTACATGGTCAATTACAATTACTTGTAATGTATAATTGAGCAATAACCAATTACAATTACTTGTAATTGTAAAATTTCCAATTACAATAATTGTAATTGGCAAAACTTCAATTACCATTACAAGTAATTGTAATTGTCAAAACTTCAATTACAAATAGTTGTAATTGGCAAAACTTCAATTACAAGTAATTGTAATTGGTAAAGCTTCAATTACAATTACTTCAAATGTAATTGTAATTGTGAATGTAGTCATTACCCCCCAAGCCTGCGCTCCTCTTATTGGTAGTCCGCCAATTTATTACCCAAAATATTTACATAAATGTTAAAATTCTTCGTGCAAAATTTCAAGATTCTAACTGTAATAGTTTCCAAGATAAACTAATTTTTGTATTTCATTTATATGGGAGGTGCCATGCCCCTGCTGCTAGTTCGCCTACTTTTTGTCCTAAATAATCATATTGACACTAAAGTGGCTGCAACAAAATTTGAGGACTCTAACTGTTATATTATCCAAGATATAATGATTTAAAATTTTCTTAATATGGGCGTGGCTCCTCGCCAAAATGTATTTTCATAAAAAAGTAGTATATAACATCTTCCAGACATACAGGAAAACGGATCAGCCGTTTAGAAGTCTATAAACTTCAAATATACTTCAAACTTATAAATACACATTCATTTTTATATACATATGTATGTGTGCATATAGATGGAGGGTTCCAAGCCCTCCTAATGAAGGTCCACGCATTTTTCTCCCAATTGTTCACATAGATGTTTAAATTCTTCGAATATAACTTGAAGATTCTAGCTCTAATGTTTTCCCAAATAAACGAATTTATGTATTTAATTCATTTGGGAAGTACCACGCCCCCTATTTCTAGTCTGGCCATTTTTCATCTCATATTGACTTTAGTGTCAATTCCGGCAAAAATTTGAGGACTCTAACTGTTACATTGTCTCAGATATAATAATTTAAGATTTTCTTAATATGGGAGTTGCCACGCCCTATAACTAGGCTTCTCGTTTTGTTCCCATATTTTCATATGGATGTCAAAGTTGTTCATTCAAAATTTAAGGATTTAAAAATCAAGGATTTAAAAGAAAATTAAGCTAAACTGATTTCTTTTAAGAAAGGTGCTATTCTGAAAATCATACTGATGCTCATATTAATATCGATGTACAACGTTTCGATTGCAATTAATATAAGAATCGTTAAAATTTAATATTTTAACAAATAATTGCTACAAAAATTTAGTTGAATGAGTTTATATTTTCCAACTTTGATCACCTGTGCCATAACAATCCATTATTTAACAGCCATTCTCCTATAATTCGTATCAGTGTGTTTCCTGTGTATTGTGTATATGTGTTGGTTAAAAAATTGTTATCAAAATGGTGTTTGCAGATGCTTGTTCTGCTGCTCAGTTTAAGAATAATTAATTTTTATTTGATTATATGTACCATATCTACTGTATCTATGTATTTGTTCACAATACACATTTTTCAATTTTATTGCAAAAAGTTCAAGGCGACAAAGAAATTGGAAAAGACACTACAATTGTAAACGCAAAATGTTTGGTGTGTAAAACTAAGACAGCCGTAACAGTAACACATTTACTTTTAATTAAAATCTATTTAAAAATAAATGAAATGTTAAGTTTATATTGTCGATAAATAAATTTGCATACATTTTCATTCTAATTGGGTAAATTGGGTAATAGCAAATGCTTTCGAAATTACGTTTGTGGTTGTTTTACATTAAGTTTTAACACTGGGTTAAATATTTTATATACTTAAAGCTGTTCGCTTACTTTTTATTTGACCTTTATTTTATAGAAAATTTATTCATGCCCCAAAAATAATCTTGTTGTCATATTTGTTGATCTCATTAAATACTAATAAACAAATTTAAATTTTACATATTGTTAATTTTTCATTTTTATTTTTAACATCAAAATGCGTGTATTTTCATTTATAATTTAATTTGTTTAAGTGACATTAACATTGGCCTATACCAATGTTAATGTTATGCATGGGGAAATCACACACAAAGTTTCCACCTTCAACTATATACACAAACAAACATTAAACAAAAACAACATCCGCTCACAAATGAAAAAAAAAAAAAATTAAAATTATTCCCACCAATATCACACCCACACAATTGTGTACTGAGCACATGTACTTTTCATGACAAAAAAAAAGAAAAAAACCTCATACATAGAAAAAAATACACTCACCAACACATGTATGCAAATCTGCTCACTTAGCTCTCAGAGAAAGCTTTGTGTGTATGTATGGATATTTTTTGAATATAAAAGAGACCATTAGATATGGAAAACGGTAAAAGTGCTATGCTTATGTTTAATAAGGAGCTCCACTAAATATTGAGTGGAAAAAGTTTTAAGCGGAAACTTTTAGGCATCCGTGTAAAAGATTCCATAAATATAACTTTCATGGGGAGGACCGGAAATTGTCAAACTATTGGAAATGTAAATAAAAAGAAGTTTGAAACTTACTAAAATATTGAACCATTTTCTAAGTCAATTTAGTCAGTGCAAATTTTACACGAAAGAAAATTTTAGAAATTTAATTTCAAGGTAACTTTATGGAAGTTCATAATGTCTGTTGAAATCACGATAGGGACCACACGAGAGGAGCTAGACAGTTGAAATTTTGCATAAATATTCTCTATTATTAAGGTTTGTTTTTTATTGAAAATGGGCAATATCGGTCCACTTTTTCGGGTAGCCCCCATACAAGTGGACCTCCAAAAAACAGCATTAACGGGCATAACTGCTTTAGAAGTACAAGCGATGAAATTCGACAAAAATAAGTTTCATATGAGCCAAAATCTTTCTACCAAATTTTTTGAGGATCGGCTCATAAATGACCCTACCCCCCATATAAGGTCCCCTTCTGAAAATTACTTTAACACTCATTACTGGTCCCAAAATGCGAGTATAGCGATGAAAATCGTTATAAGTATGTTTTTTACGAACCAAAATCTTTCTACCATTTTTTTTAGGATCGGCCCATAAATGACCCTACCCCCCATATAAGGTCCCCTCCTAAAAATGACTTTAACACTCATTACTGCCCTCAAAATGCAAGTATAGCGATGAAATTCGACATAACTAAGTTTCATGTGAGCCAAAATCTTTCCACCAAATTTTTTGATCGGTCCATAATTGACCCTACCCCCCATATAAGGTCCCCTTTAGAAAATTACTTTAACACTCATTACTGGTCCAAAAATGCGAGTATAGCGATGAAATTCGGTATAAGTAAGTTTCTTACGAACCAAAATCGCTCTACGATTTTTTTTTTAAGATCGGCCCATAAATGACCCTATCCCTCATATAAGGTCCCCTTCTGAAAATGACTTTAACGCTCATTACTGGCTTAAAAATATGAGTTATGAAATACGGTTATGAAATTCGCTCCGAATTTCATGCGGAATGTGTCGGTAATACACAAAAGGTTCCCTT